CTCCCCGTCCCCCCCCCACCTCCTCCTCCTTCTTAGTCATGTGGTAGTCCATGGAGGTGGGCAGGCCGCCAAAGCTGGTGGAGGTGGCCACGGCGCGCTTCACCCTGGGCGGCGCAAGCACGTGTGCACGGGTAATGTGCGGGGTCAGGAGAGCAAACTGAGTGGGAAGGAGGGAGCGATAGGCGGGATGGACCGATTGGCCCCTGGCGGCGCGATGTGCCGCCCGCAGCCGCAAGAAGCCCACGAAGCCTGGTCGCCCCGGCGCCACTGGCAGCACCCCCCCCCCTCCCCGCGTCACCTCCTGAAGTTCCAGACGACGCTGTAGTGCCCACAGCTGGCCACAATCCACCGCTCAGTGCGGCCCTCCTCCGTCACCTTCGTTTGGGGGGGGGGGCGCAAAGGGGAGGGATGGGGCAGGGGAGAGCAGGTAGTGGGATGGGTGCGCGCTGCATGGACCGGTGGCACTAGTCCCTGGCGCAACCGGACTAGCAGACAACGGCTGGCAGAACCCCTGCCTGTCTGATAAGCAGACACCATCAAGACCGGCGTGTGGACCGTGTACACCACCGCAACTGTGAAACACACCCGGCTCGGACGCGCAGGTGCACACACAGTCGCACATCCTACACACACGCTCCCGGCTGCAACCCCGTCCTGCAGGGGCCGCTGCCCACCCATGTGAACTTGGCGCCGCGCAGGGGCTTGCCTCCCGTGACCAGCACGTCCTCAGGCTTCAGGCGCAGCAGGCGCGGCGTGGCCAGGCGGCCCCCCACACGGTCCTGGAAGCCGCACAGCTCCCTGGGAGTGTCAGTTTTGCGTTTATTGTGTGTGTGAGAGAGTGTGTTTGAGTGTGCAAGCGTGTGTGTGTGTGCATGATTGTGTATGTCTGTTTGATCGTGCGGGCGTGCATATACGTGTGGGGGTGCGAGGGGAGGAAGATTGGCAAGGCAGGAAGAAGCAGGGTTTGAGCACAAGTTGGGGCAACCCGTACGATGCGCATGTTGCAGTGAGGGCTAAGCCATGCAGCCACCAGAGGCAGGGGCAGCCTTGACCTTGCCTGAAGCGCTGGCACGTGGGCGCCGCCGTCCCCCAGCCTCCCGCCACCCCAACTCACTTGCCGCTGCTGGCGTCTGTCACGGTCGTCTTGACGACCATTATGTAATCGTCGGTGGTGGCCAGGACGTAGGAGCCGTCATAGGTGACGTCCACCCCCGTGATGGGCTTGCCCAGGCCCGGGATCTGGGAGAGCGCGGCGCAAGGGGTGTATGTGTGTGAGGGGGAAGGGTGTCGGGAGAGGGGGGGGGCGGGGATGTGGTTTCAAGGCGGTCTCCCCCCATGCTGCTGGCTAGCTGGGGAACCAGCGTAGGGGCGAGTCCAGATCATGAGAGGCTGGGCTGTGGCGAGCCCAGTATCGGCGTTCCGGGGTCGGGCCGATAAGCAAAGCAGGCGCGGGCGCGCCAAAAGTCGCAGCCGTGGCTTTGTGGTGCCAGGCCCAGCGCGCCCCGCAGCGCTGGGTTTCACCTGTGTCTTGGCCTGCGTGAGTGTTTTGTTGTTGTACAGCCGCAGCTTGCCGTCCTTGGAGCCCACCACCACGTAGCCCAGGCCACTGTGTACGAGGATGAGCAGGGAGGAGGTGGCGGGGGGTTGCGGATGCGGGTGTTAGGAGGGTGCAGCACGAGCGCATCGCTGCAGTGCCCCAGCAGGAGCTGCGCTGCGGGGGGATGACCCGCACGGGGACACCAAGGAAAGAGCAGCGCACCAGCCAGGCTGAACGCTGCGCAGCATGCCGCTGTCTTGCACCCCCCCCCCCCCCC